ATTCATGCTTGAATTCTTCCAGATCATGCTTTCTATCAAATTTATTAAACTATTCTCTTTGGAAAGCAGTCTTAAGTTCATTCTTGTTTTTAAAATTTACTAGACTATTAACAAAGACACACTCCACAAGGACCAATTATCAGACCATGTTTATTGTCAATTAAATCTGAAATTTCTATCAAAATGTCTAATTTTTAAAATTAACGAAAACCTTTAAAGTTCTAGGAGATGAAATTTTATATAGATAATCTTCAGAACCAATCTGATGTGATTTGTGTGGTTAATGAATTTGGGTGTCCAATATAATTAAACATTTTGCAACTTAGCAGTTTGGTTTACCAAATTATCTTTCACATCTCTAACATTTTTATTAAATTAATGAAACTCAATATTCTATCAGCTGCATCAATTCTCTTTGGCACACACTCAATCAAATTTAATAGAACACCATTTGTAATTTTATCCATTCTTTTTGATTTTTTGTGATAATACTTATAATACTTTATGAAATAATTTGAACATGCTGTAATTTTAAGAGTTGTTTTTTGGTTTCGAAAGTCAAAAAAAAAATTTTACCTAGTGCAATAATTGCATTTGGCTTTTCCATCTACAACTGTGAACTGGTTCCGCACTTCATTTCTTGTTCTTCTTTGAACACATTGATTGCACTATGCCTGTTTAAGAAGTAATTGAAGTGGGATTTTCAACAATGCAATAATTGTCATTCATCATTAAAGATGGCTCCTCAATTAGTTACAACTAATTGCAGCATATGAAAATTGAATTGCAGCTAATTGTGGTTCCCTATTCATCATTGTTATATTTATCATTTAAATTTAAAACAATGAATTATAAATCATTGTGGACTTTTTTTTTTTTTTGTAAAGAAAAAAACTTTATTTTATTTGCACAATAATACAATGATTTATTTTTCCAAATAAAATCAAATAATAATATATTAAATAATAAATATAAAAATTTGTGTTTTATCAAATCATTAATTTCTCATAATCTTTAAATTTTATTGTAAAAGGTTTGGGTCCTGTCCAATTCTTTATTAGATTATCAAAAGAATTGACATTAACAATATAAAAACTACAAGAAAATGTTATTGACTTTAATTTTTTTGGTAATGTTTGATTTAGCACTGAAAGTATTTTATCACCATCAAATATAACCAGTTTAATACTTTCTAATTTAATACAATGTTGAATACTTTTGTTAACTCCTGGTTTACTTCATCATTATAAAATATTGATAAATTTACTAGATTTTTACACTGTTTTGCAATTGATTGAAATAGTTTTCCCAAAAATTCACTATTACTCTCACCACTGCTAACATTCAGATATTTAAGAGTTTTTCCATGATGTTAATAAATTCAGACAAATCTGGTAGAGATAGTTGTTTGTATTGATATACTTCCACAGACTCAATATTTGGAAGTGAAATATTTTTCAACAATTTTGTTTCATCAGCAGAATAAAAATTAAGTGACAAGGTCTTTAGATTTTTATATGCTGGTAATAATATATGATTTATATTGTTTAATCCACCATCACTTGAATAATAAATTATTGATTGTGAATGTGTGAGAATTGCTTTTTTAAAATTATCTGATAAAATTTGACAAGAGTGGTAATCAATGGCTAATTGCTTTATTTTATTTTGTGCTTTAATTAAGTGAGCCAGACTATCTTGAAGTTTATTGTCACACATATTAAACACTTCTAATGATTGAATACATTTGCAAATATTTGCTAATTTATCAATAAATTCATTACTAACAGAATTACTACAAACTAATTTGTTAAGATTCTGAAAACAATTATCAAATCTATGATGATTATTTAACTGATAAAAATTTATATTAAGAGCATTAAACTCTCTAATAACTGCTGAATGATCTAAAAATAAAATTTGTTAACCCAATCTGTAAAATAATTAATCTGAAAGAATTTGTCAGCAATGATTGAAAACAATAATAATGAGTGAAATAAAATCCAGTACAAAATCTAGCATAATTATATAATGGTGATTTATCCAATAAAAGTTAATTTAATGCTATTCCTTGTTAAGAAATCTTTATCTTCTTTCAATAAACAATTAATTATTATTTTGACACTACCATTAGAATAAAGTGGATTTTTCCATAAAATTGGAAGGTTAATATTATGCCATTGTTTATTGACAAGTATGCAAGAATATAATGTTTTATAATCATCATCATTGTATTTAAATACTTCACCTAAAGCTCAAGTGCTAAAATCATTGTTGATTTTTTCTTTGCAAGAAAAAAAAATTAATTTTATTTGTTGCACAATTAAATTATTTTCTCAACCAATTAAAATCAAATGATATATTAGATGATAATTGACCATTATTTAGAACTGCTGTGCGTGAAAATGAAATCTATGTGAATTTGCAATTCACATATGTGAAATTCAAATTAGCCAACAGAATTTCATATCCAAATACCCCACCACCCCAAAACTTCAATTATAAATTTCAATTTCACATAGTTTCATAACTATAAAAAAAACTGACATTGAATCATGTGATGAATATTTGGCTTTTTAATGATTAACATTACCATTTAAAATAAATAATAAATCAGAGTTTTACAGGAATGAATTGATTTCTTAAGAAATAAGAATAGGACAAGGATAATGATAATGATAATGACACAACAATAGCAAGAACTATGATAATGGAATTAACATTAGGATAAAATAATTTGTTGGGAACAAATTTTTTACTTTTGTTGGGTGTTTGATTTAAAACAAGGATCAAAAATTCTGATGAAATTGGTTCCTTTGATTCCTTGCAGATCAAATCAAATTGAATAACATTATTGAAACTTTCTTTATGATTCAATTTTATCTCACAATTATTATTATTATAATTTGTAGTATTTGGCATCAGAAAAATTTTTTTTTTTGATACATGTATTATATGTATATTATACATGTATTATTTTACATTACAGGTGATCCACATATAATATACATATAATACACATGTCCATAAATTACACGCGAATTATACATATATTATACGCAGATCACCTGTAATGTAAAATAATACACGTATAATATACATATAATATATGTATCAAAAATCACGTTTTCCTGATGCTAGTTGTTCTTGTAGGGAGTTTATTTGACTTTCATAAAAAGTAGACTGACTTATTTCTTCATGAGGTAAGAGAGGAAGTTCCTCCTCTTCTAAAACTTCATTGTTTCTAATACAATAACAAACATTCTTACCATTAACAATATCAAAATCTAACTTAGTTTGCAATCTACCACATATATATTCATTGTCCCAATACTTTTCTCCAAAACCATGTCATCTGAAATTCATTCTCCAGTTACTTTGCTATGAGATCTTATTTGGTGAACAGATTTATTATTTTTGTTTTCAAATTTAGAGCAAAATCACAAGTCTTTACTTTGTATATCTATTTCTTATTATTAGATGAATAAATGATGAATAGTAGAAGGTAGTTGTTCTATAATTATTGTTAAATTATTAGTTTTGTATAACATATTTATTTCTGTTATTAGATATGGATATAGAAACAAGATAGTCATTCTATAATTATTGTTATTAATGGTTTTGTATAATATATTTATTTTTTCTTGTTATTAGGTGTGGATAATAGAAACAGGGTGATTTTTCTATAATTGTTGTTAAATTAATAAGTTTGTATAATATATTTATATTGCGAGCATGCAATTTCAATTACAGCTTGTGACATGTCCAATAAATATATAAGGTAAAATATAAAAGTCCAATCTATAAATCTTCCTATCTCTGCACACAGCTAAGGGTTCTTAATACTCAATTTCTCTAGGCCTCCATCTCTGCACACAGCTAGGAGCCTTCCCAAAATATCTCTATTGTGCAATTCTCACTTGACAATACTAATGCTAAGCACTGCTGGCACAAGCCTAAGATAAAATAAAAAGAATATATATATACAAGAAATATTTACAACTATATCACTTGAGGTGTCCCTACAAGCAACATAGAACAATCAAATGGGGGGGGGTTCTAACTAATTATTAGTGACCAGACCACTAACCATCAGAGAGGATTATGGAACAATTCACAATGGCTTTTCCTGTTAACTATGCAAAATTTGTAATAAGGTAAAATGTGTTTATTTAATTATTAACAATGGAGGGGGGTATTTATTCAATTTTTGTGAATGTTATTAACATGATGATTTTTACTTGGTCTAAAACCAAGACTTTTTATACCTCTTGAGGTATTACAAATAACATGACTTCTACTCTATTTTATCCAATAAAATATGCTTATTAATCTATTTTCTGTATTACTAGCTTATTAATTCATAATTAATAATGCTACTAAATATTTGGATTGACTGAACAATACAAATAATTTGATTAATAATTCAAAGTAAATATTGATGTCATAAAATAAGTTAAAAATAGGAATGATGCCATTATCACATGACTTACGCAGTAAGTTCGTTCTAATTGGTTGGTCCACGTTTTACAATCTCACAATATCTATTTCATAGATAATAGAAATGAGGTAGTTCCATAATTATTGTTAAATTAATAAATTTGTATATATTTATTTCATAAACAATAGAAACAAGGTAGTTTGTTCTTGATTATTGTTAAATTAATGGTTTTGTATTATTAAATAAAATTCACTTCTGATATCTACTTGATAAAACTTATATGTCATGAAGCCTCTTCTCAATATTAAATTTTTGTGTAATCTATTCTGGCCAATCAATTTTTTTTTTTGTGTAATCTCATCAATGAAAGGCATTACCAATCATAAGAATGTCCACAATGCTTATATTGTTATTATATTGTTTGGAAAACAGCTCCTATTTTTCTTATAAATCTTTTTTTGATTATCTCAAAATCATGATTTTGCAGTTAGGGCTATTTCCGGTAAATATTTATTAAATTTGGTATTGATAAAGCATTGCAATATGGATTATCATTAACATGTATATTCATAATTTAGCTCATTCATTGATCATTGATCCAAATGATGAAAACCAAAATGTTTTCATGAAAGAAGAGCTTCAAGAGATAAAAGAATTTAAAATAAAACAACCCCAAGGTACCTCTTGATTTATTAGATTATATACAAAGTTATAGCATGGTAAACATTTTTTTTATGTAAGATTATATATTGGAATCCTAATTTTGTTATTGTGAATATCTTATTTTATAGCATCTTTACATGCACAAGACAATATTGTAGATCTGAGAAAATGGATCAACCATAGTGAAGCTTTTAATGAAAATTTTGAAAGATTGAAACACTTTGATTATGATTGGGTCAAGAATACTTGCTTACAATTTGTAAATATTGTTCAGCAGTATTGAATATTTTAGCTCTTATAATAAAATTAATTCTATATTAAGGAAATATGAAAATAAAAATTTTGCAAAAACCATCTTGAAGCATGGTATACAACGCATCTATGTAATTTTGTTGATAAAGTATTTGAAGACCTAAATGGAGTCGAAATAGTTAGGTAAGATGATGTTACTTTGTTTTGTAAATTGTCCTTTATTATTTATAATCAATTGATTTCATTGATAAAAGGGAGAATCTTGCAGTATTGCTTCTGCTGAACATAAAAATATGATAGAACAGTTCCTGCTGTCAAATCCTTAAAACACAAATCTATGGGCCATTGTGGTGACATGTTGATTAGAAAGGTTATATAGAAGTAGGGTTTGTACTCATGGATAACATAAGGAGATCACACACCATTAAAATCAAGGGATTTTTTGTTGTTTTAATAGTGTGTAACCCCCTTAATGGTATTCATGGTATCCATGAATATATACAAACCCTAGTCACAAGGAATATGGGTGTGCAGAAATTGGGAAAATTTTTGAAGGTGAAAATGGATCAAAATTATTAAAAGAAAGGGGTCTGAAGGCTCCAAAGATGTTAAAGGATCAATATTGCAGCTTGTGTAAATACATTGATTATGAAGAAGATAAAGTTAGAAAATTTGAAACGATTGCATTCATCCATTCTGGTATTAAAAAAAAAAATGGTAGAAGGCTTGATGATATCTGGGAATATGTGAATAAAGGAGAACCATTAGGTGGTGGTCACTATAAAGCATCATGCAAATGGTGTGGAAAAGGGTGGACAAGAGGAAGACCACAAGACATGAAAGTGCATTTAGCAAGAATCTGTGAAGATGTCCCAGAAAACATCAAAATCTTATGGCATAATTATTTAGCTGAAAACACTTCATCTAATGCTAAAAATAAATGAACCATAAATAAACCAACTATTACTAGTCATTTTCATTCTAATACTCCAATTTCATCTACAAAAGCCCATTTATTGGATCAAGCTATTTTAAAAGCTTGGATTTGTTGTGGTTTTTCTTTTCATACTATAGAAAATCCTTTTATAATTGATTTATTTCAAATTGCAGTACCTGGTACAATTTATCATCTAGAGAAAAATTATCTGGATTTCTTTTGGAGTCAGAAGCTGCACAGATATGGTGCGCGAAGTCTATAACCACCATTTACTGTGCCACACTGCCAAATTTCACCAAAAACTCGAAAACCAAAATTTGAAAATCATTCAAAAAATAATGATTTTTTTTTGACAAAAAATTTATAAAGTCATGTGATTTCTA